TTTTATTTTAATTAGTAGAATTAGAGAATAATAAATGAAATTACTTTGGTTTATATTTTAAACTTTTAAATATTACCACACTTTTCAAATGAGATGTGACCATTGAGTTAAAGTGGTAGTTGACGAACAGCTATAAAATTTGAACATTTTAGTATTAAGGTGATTGTTGAATAACAAAATCTTATATCAATTAAGTATATGTATATAATAAAAAATTATATAAGTTAAATATAATAAGAATTATTTTATTTATTATTAATTAATTTTAAATCAAATATAAATCTTGTATTAAAATATATATCCATAATTTTTACTTAATATCAAACTCTAAATTTTGTCTTAAAAAACTAATTATTTACCAATAAGACCGAAAGTAAATACCTTAAAATTGCATGCACAATTTTCACAGAGATGTTCTGCGATCTTGTTTTATCTTACATGCAGGATAAACATCTATATTGATGGCAACAAGCATTTCCCTTTTGTTGGTCTATATTGCTCCAGCAGAGCCATCTCATTCGGCCACCGCAAATAATGCAACATGGGGCACTATTGCGTCCTTTCATGATTGGACACAACATAATGTGCTTCACTTTAGCCAAGAAAAATCAGAAAATGTTTGTATCATTCACTTATAAAATAGTATTCCTACCAATTAGTTGGAATTTTATTGATTCCTGACCTTTAAAGTTCACAATGGACAAGAAAAATTAGAGGTATATATGGTTTTGTCGGCAACATGATACGCTACAAGTGCTAAGACTAGCGTGTTAATATAAATATAAACGATCTAACATTCGATTTAATCTTGAAAAATTCTTGTTCTTAGACCAACTGAATTGAAGTTTTTTTTTTTTTTTAGTACCAACTGAATTGAAGCTTCATGGTTCATGGTAATATGGGGTTAACTTTGATTGGTTTCCCTACCTAAATTTTACTTGTAAACCAAATCTTTTATTTATTTATATGTTTTTTAATCTTTTTATGAAACCATTCGCAGGTTACTCATAATTAAAGACAAAAGTAGAAGATAAAGAACATTAACTCGTGACCCCTCACATCGTCTTGTTATTTGCATTTTGCTGTAACCTCACCAAGGCCAATGGATCGAGAGGTGGTGATGACAAATAACGGATGGATGGATGGATGGTATTGTTCAAATTATAAAAGAAATACCTTCCCCTTTGCTCAAAATCCAAGTAATATTTAATGTAAAATTTAGTGAAAAATTCTAAATACCTTCCTTTTCTCATTGCAGCAGCCTACTTTGTGTTCCTTTCTTTAATGGATCTGGTTATTGCCACCAAATAATATGTTAAGCCACCAAGAGTTAAAATTTTTATTGTAATTATTAGTTTACCTTTTTTTTCAACCTCCTTGTGATATTTTGTACTTTGATTATAAGAAAGGGTAAAATAATAAGTAAAAAAAAAAGGACTTAAACTTTTGGTTTCCTTAACAAATTATCTAGTGGCAATAACCACTACAAAACAAAGGATTTTTAGTGATGAAAATTTATGAAAAATTTTAAAATTATTAGTTATAATAAATTTTAAAAATTAGTCACAAATATGCACATGTTCAATGATGATGAAAAAAATTTATAACTAAAAAGATATTTCATCACTGCCACATGATCACAAAGAGAATATATATATGCCTGTAATAAAAAAAAAAAAAAATTGTTACTACAATTCATCACAATTATAACAAATTATAAATATTAGACATAGATATCTATATGTTCGATGATAATGAAAACATTTTATCATTAAAAGGTATTTCATCACTTAAAAACTGTCACAAAAATAATATAGGCTTGTAAGGATGAAAATTATTACTAGAACTTATCACAATTGTGACAAATTTTAAGTATTGGTCATAGATACCTATATGTTCAATGATGATGAAATAAATCATCTCTAAAAAATAGTCACAAATTAAATATAGGTTTATGATAATGAAAGTTATCCTTGTAACTTATCACAATTGTGACAGATTTCAAATATTAATAATAAATTTTAACCATTTTCACCCATATTATATTTTGATAACAAAAAAAATTTTGAAATTTTATTTTAAGCAAAGAATTATTTTTTAGAGAAAAGAATTGATTGCATAATAACTTAAGTTTAAGGACTTAAGTTAAAATATTTTAAAAGCTTAAGAGCAAGAAAAGTTAAAATTCTAAGCAAAAATTGAATAAGTTAAAAGTTTTGGGATCAAAGTATTAATAAAGTAAAAGATTAAGGACCCTATTTATTAGTTTACCAATGAAAATTGGGACGGCCTCGTTGTTCTCGTGGTGTCCGCCCTACAAAGGTAGTGTCCACACCTTGCATTAGGAATTTGCAGAAATTTAAAGTAGAAGTAACACCATCTGTTTTTCATATTTGGTATAGTATATGTCTAATATTAATATTATATATAATATTATTTTAATTAATTATAATTAGATAATGTTAATTTTTTATATTTGAATTATTAAATTTAACAAAATTTACTAATAAATTAAAATAGGGTGAGATATTTTTAATAATATTGCTTGCAAAATTATTAAATATAAGTAAATTATTTTCTAATAAGGTGGAGGTTTTTTTTGGGAGAATAATGCTTAAAATTTAAATTTATTTTGACTTAAAAAAAAAGAGATAATGTCAATTTTATATATTTAAATAATTAAATTCAACAAAATTTATCCAAACAATATATATTTATAATTTCAATCTACTTTTTTTTTTTTTTTTGCATATTCAATTTATCATTTTGTTAATACATAATTACAATTTTTAAACAAATTTCAAAGGCAACCAATGTGCAATATCTACTTTAGTTTTACATTTTTATTACGTCTAAATTTCTTCAAGTTAAAGAATATATATAATACTAAATTAAAAATTTTAATATCAATTACTTAAAATTTGAGAAGCCGTCAATAAATTTAAATTATCATAAACAAGGTATGAGAATATTACTCTATATTTAGTTTAATTTTGTTTAATTTATATATTATGTCTAATCATCAATAGTTTTTACCTTTTTCTTTTAAACCTCTTATTATAATTTTTCTATAATATGCTTTGATTTATCGTCTATTTTATTTTTAAAGCCATTTCCAAATTATATTTCAAAGGTTGTATATACTTTTTTGAAATTTGTAGAGCTGATAAAACAGAGGTTAGAAAGCTTCAAGGGCATTTTGTCATGTCCACCAGAATGTGTTTGTTAAATTGTTTAAGTGAGGTTGAGTTGATTTTTTTTTTATCAGTGTATTTATTTATTGATTTTATTTGTCTTTACTCAGATGTTGTGGTACATTTCTCAAGTTAAAATATTTTTGGGGTAAAGGAGAAGAGTTACACTCTTAACTCTAATTTAAAGGATCAATAGTTTTTCGTTATCTGTCATGACCACTTAGCATCTTTTTAAATATTGTAGATTTTAATATACAAGACGTAGTGGGGAACAAGGTGACATTTATGCATGATTGCATGTACATGAGTTAGCCAAGAAGGTAGTTTTGGTGGAAGATGATGAATTCAGGAATCAGAATAGACAAAAAGTCGATACAAATAAACAATATGTAATGTATCCTATTTATTGATAATATTTGAGTAAACTACATCAAAAACAAAAATGATGTGAAAGTTTTGATTAATTTATTATTTTTCTGTTTGTATGTTATCTTTTTGTATTAATTAATTATGTAAATTGACTAAAAGATATATTTAAAATTAATAATTATCAATTAATCATTTTAATTTAATATCTATAAAACTAAAGTGCTATTATATTTTTTATTGAAAAATATTATGTAATTTAAATTTATTTATTATTAAAAATT